AAAAAAAAAAAACTGATATTTATTTACATCTTCCGGAATTCGGACCAAGCAACGCGTGCGAAACAGAGGTCGTCGCACCGATGGCTGCCTTACTTTTCCCCATATTCTTCAAAAACTTCAGCTGACCGCTTTTGAAAGTCGCAACCTTTTATATTTACTACAGTTGCTAGAAATTTTGAGACATTTCAAAAAGCTTTGAATCATACGAACTTGTGGCTGATCGGCTTCATTTGATTTCTCAAGCCACTCAGAATGTGTGCTGTTGCTCTGCTCATAGCGACAATAGGTCTTATAACAGTAGGCGTTGCATGCCGAAGAAGGCCACGTACAGCCCAATAGCCACATGCCCTATCTTCCTGAGCGGCCAAATGCAGCACATATGCCGTATCACGTACTTCCTGCAAACACTGACAATAACGAAAGCAAGCGAAATCGGTTTTTCGCAATCCACTAGCAGTATTCCCGTTTATGTGAATCACATGCTGGTACTGCAGCATAAGGCTGGTTACTGCGTCAAATTTATAAACAAATATGTAAAGTCCAAAAGTTTCAATTTTCCCCAATAATCCTAATAAATTGGGTCGGGCAAATAAAATGACAGCAATTCCCGAGCGCAAAAAAATGAAAGACATTATGAAGGTGACACTAACAAACCAATGAAAGCAAATTTTCAGCAGCTAACCTGTCTCATTGCTTCATATGCCATATTAAAGCCATCCCTGATGTCACTGGGAGGTCGACTTGCCGAATAGCCGATCATCCTCCGGCGATATCGAACAGCTGGAGAATCCGGCGAAACGATATCAAACGCTAACTCGGCTACACCCTGCAATAAGTAAATACAAGTGAAATATTCTTTAAAGACAACAAATTTATTTCACAAAAACAGAGATAAAGGTACCTGCACAACTCCAACCATTTTTTGCAAGACGTCCACCGTTGCTGTTGCTGTGGAAAGCCCAAAACTTTCGGCGCCTTTCTGCAGCCCTTTAACAACGTGACCCTCCTCTCGACGGTATTCTTGAACGGGCATTAAAAACAAGTCCCGAATTCCAAGGCCTAAATAAACAATACGAAATTTCTCTCGTTTCGATTCAAGAATTCAACGCCTCTTTTCAGTAATGTACTGATAAAAACCGAATTTATTAAAATAGCGGCATATCAAAATTATGCCAAATTATCAAAACTTACCAAGTTCCACGAGCGATTTTATCGGAGCATATGATGTGATGAACTGCATTAACTGCTTGTTGTTGATATCTTTTAACCAAGCATCGAGTGCAAACTAGAAAGATTCATGCGTAATTCACCGGAAGATCATGAATGCGAATTCATTTCGTTGAATTCTCTTGCTAACGAATCATAAATTCAGATCAAAGATAAGGGCTAAATTTCACAAAAGCTGGCTTAATTAATTGTCAAAGAACATACTTTAGCACAGCGATCATAGCCGAGAAGGCCACGGCTACAATGCAGTTCCTTCAAACGTATTTCAGTGCATTTAAAGTCGCTCAATCCGAGCACAAACCCAACAATCCATCCACGATCAGAGCGCACACGCTTGCCACTCAAGTCCAAACGAATTACCGTGGATGGCGAAAAAGTGAACTCACTGCAAAACTCCTTATAACAACATCTTGCAGCATACCCAAACACAATTTAAATAACATGAATGGCAAAAGATTCCCATACAGCACACAAGAAGCAGACCGTTAAACTTACACAAAATATATCTTCCCTTTGGCAAGTGAATCTGCTCTGCGCCCATTGCTCACCGATGCGGCTTTTGCATGCTGTTGCTGGCTCTGCTGTGACAACTAAATATTTTCATATTTTACTTGAAAGCGAAGGACCGAAATTCTTTCCGATTAATAAAACCGAATTTTTTCTTTCTGCTTTGAACTTTTAGGGGTATGCAGTACAGGACACGTAGATGCTGTTGTACTACAATATATGGTGTGTCACACAGCGAAAAAGGAGAGCTGTGATCTTTTCAGGCGCAAGCTTTTAATTGAAAGGAACTTATTTAACAACCACACTGCTGCAGAGTTCTAAAGAAGATGCCACAAACCACCGCAGAAGATGTTGTAATAGCGTCACTCTCTTCGTCTCGACATACACCACCCAACAAATTTTCATTTGTTCCCTTCGGCACTGGTGGCGACAAATCACTGCGACGACTTGTTTGAAACTGCTCGGCATTCGCTGTTCCCCTGTTGTACTGATATAAAACGGCCGTCGAAGAATGTGGCTCACTAGAGGAATGCATCAACTCCATGATATCACCTGATACGGGGCCTGAAAAACACTTGCAAGAAGCAAAATAACGCGTATATGGTAACAACAGAATTCACTGCAAGTTTAGCGGGAAATAAAGGAAGTTCGATTACCACTGTCATCGAAGAGATCGGCCGCTGAACCGGACGGCTTGCCCACTGCTACATTCTCGCGATCGCTTTCATCTGCACTGCTATTATCGTCTGGAATGAAAACAAGAGAAAATAAAAAAATTCTCCACTTTTTCCGAGCGCACAACAACGTGCAGTCGCAGTAAAGCGCCAAATGCATAACGGCACTAACCCATATAAATATTGAGAAGATCTGGTTCTAAACCCGAATCCATACGCTGCTGCTGATCGCTGCTCGTTTTGGATTCGCATGTTGTCGGTTGGGCATTTGCATTATGCACACTTGGTGAAACAGTGTGTAACACTGCATTCACAAAAGCATGCTGTACAAAGTGAGTGTCTTCGTTACCACACATTTCCAGAAGTGGCTTCTCTGGCATCTCCACTTCTCCTAAATTACCAAACAGTTCAGGGAGCAAGACCAGCTAACAAACGACTCGATTAGGAGGCAGAAAGCACGTGACCTGAGCACATTCCTTAACTAAAATAGTATTGTTGGTGGTCATTATTGAAAATGCCAAAAAAGTCTGTTAAATCTATCTCAGCACTGAAAAAACGCCGTCAAAGTCACATTTGTGGACTGAGTAATTATAAGTACCGAAACAACAAAACGTATGAAACCTGGATGCAAAAGATGCACACCGGCAGATAAGTCATTCAAATAATCCTCCAAGAACTCAAGCGTGTCCTGATCAGCATTAATGCGTAAAGGCATCAACGATACTTTCATTCTGCCTTCATTCTGCGCCGTTTCACATACGCGAAGGGAAAATACCGGTGAATGAGAGCGACGAGGGAACGACTGATCGCACACGTACTGCAAACAAATTCTCTCAAAAGATTCACACAAACATTCATAAATTATAATCCATGAAGCACCTGGGTACGAATCAAGCTCCCGGGGTGTGACGAACAGACCAAGCCGTACTGCAACAGGTCAACTTCCAGCAGTATAGGCCAATGTCAGTTTGACTAATAGGCGTAAATGATGAAACACCACACGTACTGCCCATATGAAAACAGTGACATGGAATACAATCAAAAAGAATTGAGCCCAGTACCACGGGTTTTCTTCCAACCGGTGGAAGAGGAATTCGATGGTGGCTAGGCTCCCAGACGTTGGTGGAACCAAGTTAACATGGGGAATTCGTGCCCAACATTTGCAAAAACGAGCACGCATCCGTATTTCTCAATCAACGTCTCTCCCCTCATTTGCTCAAAAATTACAGCAAACGCAATAATTCTTCGTGGCTACTCTTCTCTTTTAAAAGCTGATCAAATAATAAAAGCCAATTTCCGCTTAACAAAAAAAAAAATTTAGTTGCATACCGGATAAAGAAGCTTGTTAATTTTTGATGCCATCATTCTATCCATTATTTCCATCCTTTCAATCGTAAACAGCCTGGTCGAAGATATAGGTGCATCATCTTCGTATATTTCAAACAAAAATTTCACCTAATAAAGAAAATGGTAAAAAACAGATGCATAAATAAGTCGTGAAATTGGGCGCTTCTCGAAATGGATGAGAAAAATAATGGCCGTCACAGCACCACCATCCCGTACACTTTTCACGGATCTCGTCGCCGCCCCACTATGACACATAGTTTCAAAAGCAAGCACTGCTGTCATCCCTGTCTTTGTTCATCAAGATGCATTGGATCTCGCATCCCAATGCTTCTATTTTGCCAGTATACAATGTTTCCACGAGATGTGACCGATGTGATGCTCATTTCTTCTATTTGTATTTTGCCTTTACTTTCGGGTGCAGTGTTTTTTTACAGCACACTGCGCTTGTATTTCTTATACTGCGCACTGTTTTCTTTTTATGTGTTTAGCATTTGCATAAAACGCCCATTGTTATACCCCTTTGTCTGTGTAAATTTTGTCCCAGCTTTTCAATTCTAAAACTACAGAAGCTGAAATTTTAGGAGAACGTTCCCTGCCCATATACGACCCAGCAAATTTAAATGCAGCCTTGGTGTATGCCTTGATCTCACACACAGAAACGTGAAAGTTTTGGTGCTGAAATTAATGACTCAGAAACCGTGGAAGATAGGAAGCTGAAATTTTGGAAGAATGTTCCCCATCTACGTACGCCCCCGAAAATTTATGTCCAATGTCTACCTACTAAGTCCCACACACGTTCACATGAAATTTTTGGCGCCAAAATCGCCAGCACGGGAAAGACAAAAGCCGTGAAGCAGAAATTTTAGGAGAATTTCCCCTGTTCACGACCCCGTAAGTTTAAATTCAGCCCCCATGTACGTCCAGGTCTTACGTATGAGCACGTGAAATTTTTGGCATCAAAACTACCAACTTAGGAACCACAAAAACTAAAAGGCTGAAATCTTACGGTAATATTCCAAGCCCACATGCAACCCCAAAAATCTAAATTCAGTCTCCACTTACGCCTAAGGCTCGAGTTTTTGGGCAAAATTTTCTGCCTTGGGATTAGAACAAGATGGAAAGCTGACAACTTCGTAAGATGCTTCCTCTAAATACACAACTCTGGGACTTTCAATTCAGCTTCTCTGCACACTTATCTTTCGGGTCACGCGAAATTTTATGTGAAGAATTTTTTGTTCGGGAACCAGACAGCACAGTGATGTTGAAGAGGTGCATGCTCCTGCCGATTCAATAATTTAAGAATATCAACGATGCTACGAGATTTGAATCAACCAGTGGCCCTTTCGCATACCAACTCCGGTTAGAAATTATGACGTATTTTTAATTCATGGCCAAAACAGACGTAGCTGCGAACTTCTCCCAAGTCAACACATCTGTCTGCACTTTGAAATGAGCACACTGGCAAAAATGAGTTTTTAAAACATTGAAACAAGACTGGATGAACCGCAGTAAATTTCATACGAGGGAATTAAGTAAATTAAATTTTAAAAACAAAAATTCCTTTAGCAATCTAAAACGAAAAATATCAAACTCACTTTTGAAAGCTGTAATTCAACATGAGCAGAATAATCTCTGTAACAGCCACCCGCAGGACAGTTGTCACGACGGATTCTCCCGCTAGTCGACATCGAATACGGTTTGGAAGGTGGCTTTGAAGTGCCTGCAAAGAAAGGAATATTCAATAAATTGACAATACTGACTTCTCGTAATATGAGTAATAAAAGAAAAAAGTATAAATACACATCTCCGACCCTTCAATACATTCAACAAAATCCAAGAACTACACAAGTGAGAATGGCCATCAAAAAAGTTAATCGCGGCATCGAAGACAATTTCAATGGTCGATAAAAAGTACCAAAATCAGTGCCACCATAAAGGTGCAGCTCCAGCGACACATCACTGACCACATATCTGACAAGCGGGGTACGACTGTCCTCCGCGGCCAAAAGCACCGTTTTTTCAGACCGATCATCGATTCTTTTCAAATAATTATCGACTGTAATGGGAGGGTCATCATCGAACAAAAATCGGGCCCGCGGTTTACCACCAGGAGCCTGAAAGAAAGTTTAACTAGCAAAAGTACAGAAAACTAATTCACTAAGGAAGTTTTAATTTAAAACAAAAATCTTACTGTAATTCCACTTCCCGGAATTTTATCAACAACACAGAATTCCTCGTCTGACTCGATTTGTCCGAAAGATTCCCTGCGACTGCGCCTCTCCTCCGTATCAGTCAGATCTGCTCGCGTATCACTCAAATCTGCAACAACATGAAAAAATGCAATAAATAACTGCAAATTATTTAATTGCCCAAGTTTCAGTTAACTTTTAAAGATGACAAGCGCCTTTTACAATGAACGAATTATCAAATGATGATGATTGTTGTGAAATTTTGCATAACAGCTTACCCAACAATGCATCCGATAACAAGTTCGTTTTCCCCGTAAGCGTTTCTTGGGAATAAGTAGCATTTCCAGTCGCATGTTCATTTCGTCCATCTCGTTCCGTCTGTGCTACTGACGCCTGTATAATTTTCATAACGCTTTTATAATGTAATTCTAGCTGGCTCAAATGTGTAGCACATGCACTTATTTAGATTTGAGGATCTTTGCTGCTAAAAATTTATTCTAAAAAGTGTTATGAGAGGAGCATGATGAAAACTATGGGTGTTGCTCGGTGACTAAAAATGACAAAGTTGATCATTTTATTGGCGCACATGGACAGCGCAGTTTCAACAGCTGCTATAGTTCTGAAACGCACGATATAGCAACTACAACGAACGCGTATCATCTCTTTTCGGAGGTCGCAATGAGTAGCCATCTTATGACCGACTAGTGTACAGGATTTATAGATACAAGACGAACACTGTGTGCCGTTCAGAGGATTTTAATACTGTTGAAGTGGGTACCGTTTCCACAGTGAAAAAGCGTGATCTACGGGATTAGCTCTTTCGAGAACCTTAATATTCTGTGCAAACGTTTTTAAGCGTATCGAGCAAATTCAACATTACTGTGGTGATTCAACGATGCGGCAACAGCACACGCACCCAAAACATGACTTACACCTGAAGTCTTACCTCAAAATCGGCCCTTTGTTCGTCCGCAGAATGCTCTTTTCCATTTTCCACATCATATGCAGCACTACTTGGCACCTGTGCATTATGCGCTTGCTCCGCTCCTTGCGCATCTAGCAATTCGGCAATTGCATTAACTATTAAGCAGATCGAGTCCGAGCACGCCCAAACCTATAAAAAACAGATAAATGATCGAAATATACTAACACAAAACATCAACACTCATTTTGTGAATGAAAACTTGTTGGTAATGTTTCGCAGGCATTTGCAAAATACGATTACCTTTAAGAGATCATTTTTGCACCTAATTTCCAGAAGAGGCGAACGCTGTCCCGTATCGCTATCAAGATTTTCAAAACTTTTCGCTGCCATCACCTAAAAATTCGATTCTTCATGTTGTGTTGGAATTTTCATATGTCCCATTGCATCAAAGCATGTCTAATAATAATAAGCTAATAACTAATAAAACAATAATCTACTGTCTAGAAAACTGTTTTCTCTTCCCATTTTTTGGCCCAGCAAAAAGGCATGAAACCCGTTAGCATTCATTACCAAATTCAGGGGCAGTAAAATATTTGTCCATTTTTTGTTACAGTTTAATAATTTTGGACGCCCTTAATATTTTTTTTCACTAAGTTTTGCATTTATCCGAGCTGAAAATACTGCTTTCAGTAATGTTATGTGCACATTTAACCACGTCGCTGTATTATTTCTGTTATTAGCCCAATTAGGATTTAAACTCAATCTAAAGACATACCTCTAATTGCAACATTCCAACATGTAGCAGCTGGATAAATCTTGACTCCACTTCTATGAAATCATCAATTCCCTTGGATTCCTCTCGGCTCTCTTTCGCTTGAATATAAGGTACAAGAGATGCAAAAAGTTTCAGCTGCTCAAAAATGCACTCAAACTTGTATAGTTCCAGATCCTGTACAAGTCGACTGCTAATGTTGCAGGAGTCAAGAACAATTCTGCAACAAAGAAGAAAGTCATAAAAAACTTTCTAGATAAGTTAGTCGCATAATAAACTACGATTAATTTCGCTTTTTCTTATGCCTATCGTTAAAAAAAAAAAAAATAATTGGCCAACGAACGGGCTGCCCGTGCGAAGATGCGTTTTTTGCATGGTTCCCCGCAGTTTTTGTTGGTACCGGCACC